TATGACGCATGGCAATCGCGTTGGCAAAAATGTATTGACGCAGAAGTGTCATACTTTCGAACAATTTTAAGTTTTTTTACCTAATGCGATCAATAATTCTTTTTAAAAAATGCGACGCATTACTTTCCGGCCAAACCCTGTATGTATGTATGCGTATTTATGCGTAAAAATGTTATAAAGAAATTATATATATATCTATATATATATCTGTGTATATATATATATATATATATATATATATACAACCTATCGATTTAATTAGCTATCTGCTGTCTATCTATCAAACTATCTATCGATCTACCTATCGATCAACCTATCTATCTATCTATCTATATCTATCGATCTATCTGGTCTCTCTGTGGTCCTGTTTCTGTCTCTTCTCTCTTTTCTACATTGCATTCTTTCATACATGCACACGTATATAAATTTTTTTTAAATTAATCTGCATTACATAAATAAAATAATTAAATTTATAATCTAAAATATCAAAATCTTTTATGATGAATATAATTGATTATAAGTTTTAGTGGATAATTTTTTGTAATAAATAAATGATTTATATGATTTATTCTTATCTAACTACTGCTACTTGGTTTGTTTTGATAATAATAGTATTATTATATTCAATCTCTAAAATACTCTTATATAAATCATTTATTTATTACAAAGGATTATATTTACTTTATAATCAATCAATCTAATTATTATAGATAGGCCTGTTATACACATACACACACACGCACACACACACACTCACATATAACTTGTTAGCTAAAATGTGGACAAAAATGTATGTCACACACATATGTAAATATATATATATATATATATATATGTATGTATGTATGTATGTATGTAGATTAGGGTGTAAAAATTTTTTTTGTCCACATTCTAGCTAACAAGTTATATGTGTGTGTGTGTGTGTGTGTGTGTATGTGTAGAAACAGGCCTATCTTTTATAATTATAAAGTAAATAATTCTTTATGATTATAAAGTAAATAATTCTTTGTAATAAATAAATGATTTATATGAAATTTTATTTTTAGAGATTGAAGAGTATTTTTGAGATTGAATAGATAGTAACACTATTATTATTAAAACAGAGCAGTAGTTTAGATGAGAATAAATCATATAAATCATTTATTTATTACAAAAAATTATCCACTAAAACTTTATAATCAATTATATTCATAAAGATTTTTTATATATTTTTAGATTATAAATTTAATTATTTTTATTTTAGCAATGTAGATTATTTAAAAAAATTATTATATACGTGTGCATGTATGAAAGAATGCAATGTAGAAGAGAAAATAGACAGAGAGATAGAAACAGATAGATCGATAGATATTATAGATAAATAGATAGAGAGACAGATAGACAGACATATAGATAGATAGATAGATTGGTAAATTGATAGATATTTCGATAGATAGACGACAGATTGCTAAATAATACTATATATATATATATATATATATATATATATAATATAGTATTTATTATTATTATATATATGTATATATATATATATGTATATATGTATATATACATGTACAGGGTGTCCCAAAAGATCGGAACACTAAAAAATCTCGAACGATTTGCATGTGCGTTCTGGTTATTAAAAAAAGATATTTTATACCAGAAACAATATATTCGTCTGCTAGTTGCTTTTAAAAATATCTTCTCTCAGAACGATTTGCATGTGCGTTCTGGTTATTAAAAAAGATATTTTATACCAGAACTATATATTCGTCTGCTAGTTGCTTTTAAAAATATCTTCTCCCAGAACGATTTGCATGTGAGTTCTGGTTATTTAAACAAGATATTTTATACCAGACGATATATTCATTTGCTAGTCGCTTTTAAAAAATACCCAGTAAACACGCAGGGATTATTTACGTAATAATTACATAATGTTTTATATGTATATATTACAGATCATCATAACGAAACTGTGACGTATCGTTTATGTCAATAACGTAATGAATCTATAATTGTTATAGAAATTGTTATATAATTTAACGTTACTTTGTTATGTAACATTTATGAAATTTGGTGAATGTAAATGTGCATTCTCTAAAAGTTTCGTAAATA